TTTACACTCTTCTTCGGTGGTGTCTGTGTAGTTGAGCTGAGATGAGCGTGGTGGATTAAAGTTCTATTGGATCCAAAAAGGAAAAGTTATTTTTATTGACTCACAGGTACAAAGTGTGAGACACAAATAGTGGCTTATAGAACGGCAATTACGACAATGTACAAGTTTCACTTTTTGAATGGAATTACTGAAATAAATCAACTGTTTAATGAAATTCTAATTTTACAACCAGCACCTGTACAAATAAAATTTGCACTCTTTTTTTTTTCCCCACTTCTTTTTATGTCCATCAGGAAAAATGCTTGAATGTTTACAACCTTCTTTTCTCACTTTAGACCAATTTCAGAACATTAGGATCTTTTTTTACCTTCTTCAAATACTTCAGACAGGATTAAGTTTTTGTTTGCAGGTAGAAGATTTGCCCCCTTGTTTTTGTTTGTCTGCTAGTTTTGTTTAGGTAAAAAAAAAAAAAAAAAACTTCTGTGTTCCCCAGTTTAGCTCTGATGGCTGAATCAGAGCCCGTGCCTCTCCCCGTCCAGGCTGGAGAGAAGAGAGGTTGTTCAGAGGATAAAAAAGAAGATGATACACCAACCAAAAAGCCAAAAATTGAGAGTGATCAGGAAAATGGAGGCGCTCCTAACCAAAATGAGGAGGCAAGTGATGAAGAAGAGGATGGAGAAACCTTTGCGGAAATGATGAAGCATGGTCTGACTGAGATGGATGTGGGCATCCTGAAATACGTTAGTGACCATGAGGGCTTTTCAGGAATCTTGAAAGAAAGGTTTGTCCTCTACCCTCACTTAACAATACATAATCTTTGCTCTCTGGTTTATTTTGTTTTGTTTTGACAGATTGGTGTTAATGGTTTGTTTTCAGGTATTCTGATTTTGTTGTTCATGAAATCAACAAACAAGGCAAGATAGTTCATTTAGATGACCTCTCTATACCAGCAGACGAGCAGGTAAATATCACTTTTCTTGGTTTCTAAAAAGTAGCGTGTATAATACTGTAAATAACAATTAATTTCAAAATTTGCTGTGTTTTCTCTTTTTTAGGAAGTCCCAATGACAGAAGAGCTGACAAAGGAAAGTGATGTTCTTACTGAAGAGCAAAAAAAGCAGCTTGGTGAGCTGCAGCTTTTCAGCAATAAAGAAGGAAGTGTTTCCATCGAGGTCTGTTTGAGAAAGTGCATCCTTTTTTTGAATATTAACATGCTTTGAAGTTTAACTAAAGTTCAGTGTAATGTTTTTGGTCATTGTTTATATCTTTAGATAATGGATGATACAAAGGAAAAACGGACGCAAGTCCACAAAGCCATCAAGACTCGGTTTCCTGGTCTGGAAACCAAAACTGAAGAAAAAGAAGGACGCAAGTTTATAGTTGCTTACCACGCTGCTGGAAAGACGGCTTTAGCAGGTACACAGAATAAATACAACCATATATCACTAGGGCAGAATTCTGGATTAGTAAATTCATTTTAAATATTAAAGCAGTATAGTGCATGTATTCTCCTTTACATCCAATTGTTTTTGATCTGCTGCAGTGGAAACTGCAGAAAACAGACAATGCATGCATTTGTGCATATGCATGCCCATCACACCTGCATGACTCTGCTCAGAGTTTTGCTCTTTATCATTTTGTTCTAGTATTATTTACCAAACATCTTAAATTACAATACTGATCTGTGGAACAATAAAACTAAACACCACAAAGGTGCATTTGGATTGCACAGATGCAATTAAAATTGTCACTCCTCCACAAAGCCCACGCATGACATCTCACCACCGTCAACTCCTCCTCTGGTTTGTAAGAATCCTTTTCTCAGTAACATTATTCTATCCCCCTTTTTGCTATTCTCTTGTGGATAGAAGTCAAAACAACTGCAGGTAAGAATCTCCGTGCACACTGAGGAAACTGTTTAAAATCAACTTAATCTGGTTTAAAGTGGTGAGATCAGCAATATACTTTTCCTTAATAGCCCTAGTTTAAGTTGATTTGTTAATTGACTTCAAATTTTTTACAAAGATTGAGAATTTTTGCAGCTTGCAGCACTGCAGGACTAAATTTCCAAGTTTATTCCTAGAAAATGGAGAGGTTTCTGAAAAGGATTTAAATGTTTTACCTATTTTATTTCAGAGTTTCTTATCACATTTTTTTGTCTCGTTTTTGTGTCTACAAAAGCCCCAAGAAAACACTTTTGGCCCCAAAACCGGGGCAGTTTCTGCCACTTTGCCCTGTACAAAGAAAACAAAGACACCATGGATGCAATCAACGTGCTTTCAAAGTTCCTCAGGTCTGGATGTCATTTTCATTTTGATTGTAACTATTGTGCGTAATAACGAGACAGAAGATGACAGTAACGGTGAGATGAAGTGGCTGTAGTGAATATCCTGATGCATGCTCAATAATCCATGTAGAAAAATCTAAAAAAATTAAATCTGTTCCTCTGGACATTCAAAAAAACAAAGCAAAACAAAAAATTATAGAAACGTTTCGTCTTTCATCCAAAATACTTCTTCAGTCTGAGGTGCTGTATTCAGCTCAGTCATATAAATAGCACCTTTTCGTAGTGGATCAACCAGTTTGCTGCTGACAGCCAAAACCAGCTGCTCACTGATCAGTGTCAGGAGGGCTGTGATCAGTCTTACATCGGGAAAATAAACAGCCACTGGCCAAAAGAATGACCCAGCACAGAAGATCAACATCATCAGGCCTGGACTCTGTGGTCTACACTCATCTCCAGGCCAGCGGTCACTCGTTCTGGATGAAGATGTTCACATCCTGGATAGAGAGGAACGGTGGTTTGAGAGAGGAGTAAAGGAAGCCATCTTTGTGAAAAACCATCCATCATTAAACAAGGGCAGAGGCCTCCGGGTTCAACTGTCCCCGTCTTACAATGCTGTTATTGCTAGTATCACTCAGCCCCCTGTGAATAGCAAACAGCCATCAGGGTGCTAATGATCCATCATTAGGCTGATGGTCCTCCTTGATCATGTGAGCAGCTAGTTTTGGCTGTCTTCAGCAAACTGGTTGATCCACTATGAGACAATGCTATTTATAAGACTGAGCTGAATACAGCACCTCAGACTGAAGAAGTATTTTGGATGAAAGACGAAACGTTTCTATAATTTTTTGTTTTGCTTTGTTTTTTTGAATGTCCAGAGGACCAGATTTAACTTTTCTAGATGTCTGTAGTGAAGAATTCTCATATTTATAGTAATGCTTTTTGTTTTAGGCTTAGACCCAACATGTTCTCCTATATGGGAACCAAGGACAAGCGAGCCATCACTGTGCAGGAGATTGCAGTACTTAAGTGAGTAGATGATGCTGAGTAAAAAATGCCACTGGAGATGGTGTGCATGTGAAGTACAGCTGTCATTTCTAACCCGGAGCCCGACCCAGATTCAGACCAGGCCAGTCCATAATAATGTGCGGGCTGGGTCGGTGTCGGGCTTTTTATTACGTCAGCGGATGCATGCAGCTGACGATCCAATATATGGTAACGTGGTTTGCCATACCATCACCAGCCGCACGCTGCCATTTCAGCATGAGCTAATCTGCCTCGAAAGAGGTAAAAAGTTCAGTTAAGCTTCAGATGGACTATTTTCAGCGATCCTTTGCCCAAATGGATGTTCATTCAGCCGCGGCACTCAGTGGACGCGTGCGGCCGACGACCCAAACACGTGAGATCACAAAGCAGATATGTCAGAGCAGGGTCTGTGTCTGAATAATGCAGAAGCAGGAGAAGCATTTAATGCTCTTTCACGGCCATAAAAGGACAAACACCCCCTCAGCTCCGATCTTCTGACCCCTTTACTCAGCTGCGCGTGTCCGCTGACCGTTAATAACTATATAAGCAGTCAAAGCTTAATTAAAAATATCTGGGGGTTTTTGGGTTAGGATCTGCAATTACTGTCAAGTCGTTGGATTGGTGGGGTTCAGAAATTATGGCTACGGGCTGGGGCCGGGTTGGGTCAAATTTTTTGGACCCAAATGCAACTCTGATATGAAGTATGTTTGTAATGACCAGTACCAGTAATTGTTTGTTTTTTATGTAGGATCTCAGCAGAGAGGCTGGCTCACCTCAACAAGTGCCTCATGAATCTAAAGCTTGGAAACTTCTGTTACAAAAATCACCCTCTAAAGCTCGGCGAGCTGCAGGGAAACCACTTCACTGTGGTCATCAGGTCAGCGGGCGTTACGCCGCAGTTTCATTACTGTTCATCAGTTTCCTCTCCTGCGTGTTTAATGAATGAATCAAAGGCTTTACTGAAAAACTATTGACCCACACATTATTTTCCTTTGCTTCCAAGGAGAAAAACGTATTTTTGAAGTGATCTTGAAAAGTAATTTTCTAGATTTTCTTGATAGTTGCTGTTTTTTTATACACCCGTGGAAAGGCGGATGTGTTATGGTATAATCTTTGTACATCCATAAACATTTTCTTGTCCAGCCCATAACTTCTGATTTGCTCAAGTTAATTTGATGAAACTTGATACAAATATTTACCACGATTAGACGGTGTGTCTTTAATCTTGTCATCAGTCCAGCTCTAAGGCCAAGGTCACAAATAAAGATCAAAGTTAATACAAAGTTTTTTTCTTGTCAGGGACATTGCTATAGATTGCTGTATGATTTTTTTCAATTATTAAAGTTCTCTGTCACTGTGATGGATTTCCATCATTTTAAATGTGGCCAGGACAGATTGCTGTCGTGTAAAAATGAGAATGAGATAAAAATGTGTGTTTTGTTGTGTTTTGGTTAAAACCATCCAATCTAATTATGACGCAGGGCTAAAACTGATGCTGCTTTCAACAAATAAAGAGAACCACAGCCATAATTTTACCTAATCGAGCATCGTATGACATGTCGTGCTGTCTGGTTCACAGTGATCCAAGGTGTGACGACGTTACTAGTTTCCTGTATTATTTTACAAGGAGGACACTTTGCTACGCTAAAGAAGTAGTAGAGAAGTCTGGGCTGAAAATATGTTGTGGAGAATGGCCAACATCCAAAGAAAAACCTTTGATAGCTTTAGAAAGCTTTGAGAACTATTGCTCAAAAGTACTTTAAATACTGCAAAATATTTCATTTTAAAGCAAAATATGTAAATTAATAAATTGAGTAGTTCAAGATTGTATGTTGTGGTATTTAATTGTTTTATTTTGAGGCCCATTGTAGACCGTGAAAAAATATGGTCCAACATTTTGCTGTTTCATAATAAAAAATGAGTTATTTATTTATGCAGCGTTTGCTTTTTAGGAACATCTCAGGGAGCGATGAGCAGATTCATCAGGCTATGACGTCCCTCAGGCAGACGGGCTTTATCAATTACTATGGAATGCAGCGCTTCGGCACCACAGCTGTGCCCACACAACAAGTTGGCAGGTGAAATAATTGACAAACGTTGATAAAATGGTTTAAAATATAACTTTGCATCATTTTATTCACCTTTTTATTTCCTGTTTCAGAGCTATTCTGAAAAATGACTGGAACGAGGTGGTGGATTTGATTCTTAAACCTCGTCCTGGAGGTAATCCACTTTTTTGTCCTTACTCTTCTTTCATCTGTATGAGAGGTGAGTAAATAGTATTTGAAACTTTTCTTTGTTATGATGGGTTTCCACAGCAGAGAAAGAATTTCTGGTCCGCTGCAGGGAGGAGTGGGCAAAGACTCGAGACCCAGAAGCTGCGCTGAAAAAGTTACCCAACAAGCGCTGCGTGGAGGGACAGCTGCTTCGAGGTCTGTCCATGTATGGCAAGAAAAACATCGTCACTGCCTTTGGACTGGTACGTTTTCTATCATTCCTGCATTCAGGGTAAAAGCAAGAAAGATAAAACTGTGTATATCAGGGTGAGTAAGGGTTCTCTCACCATTAAATTAGACCAAATGATTTTTAAAATTTTATTTTGTTACTCGTGAAAATGTATCTGCACTTTTCACAGTTTTATTATCACAACCGTATTTTCCACCGTACACGTCACACTACCTTATGAGTTACATCAGTCCAAATAATACTTGGACTGATGCGAGACGTAATAGACATATTACGTCTAATAAAGTGGAAAAAGCATAAATATGTCGCTTCGCCATATAAATCACATCTATTATGCGTCACCGCTGACACGTCACATTTGTTACGCTTCACTGCTGACAAGCCAGAAATGTGGGCTGGTGTCGTGCCAAAAATCGATTGGCTGCCAAATGGCAGCCGCAGGAGTGTGCACGGGAGGACTTTAACAAGTATTTAACAAGATTAACACTTAAAAACAATTATTTGTTTGCTCGAAATTATAGTAAAGGTGTATCTCAGTTTAACTTTTACTTAATTAAAGGACTTTAAAGGTCAAATCAGATGCATTTCAAAAGTATTTGCTGCCTCGGTGCTCCGGGAGCACGCAGAGGGAGGAAATCGAGAAGGAGAAATGCTGCGCATTTCTTTGAAATTTAACATATATAAGAACCTTTAATAATTATTTGTTTGCTCGACTTTATAGTAAAGTTGTGTCTCAGTTGACCTGACTGAAAAATGTTGGCTTGTATACCTGGATTATTGAGCATGGACTTTGTTGTTTTCAACCAGTTTGACACGACTGTCAACAAGGAAGAGGGCCGGAAATGGAGGAGGGGGCGTGACAAAGAGACCATCTTAGCACCAATAATAATAATAAACTTCTATAGCACCTTCCAACAACGCCTTGCATTGACAAAGGTGCTTTAAAAGAAAAAACGAGATTAAAAACAGGACACAATAAATCAGTGCAAATTAAAAACACAGCCAGAATAAAAGAAGGTAAAAGAGATCAAATAAATAAATAAATACTCAAATACTAATAGTTAAACATTAAAAGCCCTTTTAAATAAGTATGTTTTCAGTTTGGCTTTGAACAGAACCAGATCAGAAATGGCACGCAGCTCATAGGGAAGAGTATTCCAGACTGTTGGGCCTGCAACAGAAAAGGACCGGTCCCCCCAATGTTTGCACCTTGAGTGTGGCACCACCAGCAGATTTTGACCAGCAGCCCGTAAAGCTCTGCTGGGCTGGTGGACTTTCAAAAGTTCTGAAATATAAGGTGGTGCAAGGCCATTCAAAGCTTTAAAAACAAACAGCAACAGCTTGAACTGTATCCTAAACTGAACCGGGAGCCAGTGCAAAGAAGAAAGGACAGGAGTGATATGTTCATATTTACGTGTGTTAGTCAACAAGCAAGCAGCAGAATTTTGTACAAGCTGTAAACGGGAGATAGAAGATTGATTAATACCGACATATATGGCATTACAGTAATCAAGCCTAGAGCTCACAAAGGCATGGATGGCCTTCTCCAGAGCACTACGGCTAAGGAGTGACTTTACTTTAGAAAGCAGACAGAGCTGAAATAAGCTGGTTTTCACAACAGAACTAATCTGTTTATCTAAGTTTAAGTTACAGTCAAGCTCCACTCCTAGATTTTTTACCACCTGGTTGGCACGGGGGAGCGGAAAACCTAGACTGGGAGAGATGTTGCATGAATGACTGGAAGCACCAAATAAAATCCACTCAGTTTTATCGTTATTTAGGTGGAGAAAATTCTGAGACAGCCAGTGCTTAATGTTTAAGCAGCTGGGAACAGAGTTTAAACTGAGTGAGGAACTGGGAGTGACCGGCAGATAGATTTGTAGATCATCTGCATACAGATGAAAATGGTAAATGGACTGTACTTATATAGTGCCTTTCAATCTTATTTCAAGATACTCAAAATGCTTTACAGTACAATCTGTGTCCTCATTTACCCATTCATACAGCACTCTACTAGATCTCTACAAAGCTAATTGAACAAATCATTCTGAGACTAATCAGTGCTTTAGATCACATTCATACATTGATGGGACACACATCAGAGGCTATGAGGGGTTCAGTGTCTTGCCCAGGGACACTTCGGCATATGACTATGATGAAAAGACAGATTATGGTGTGCAATGATGGGTCCTAACGGTAGCATGTAAAGTGAGAAGAGAACAGGCCCCAGAATGGATCCCTGCTGTACACCAGAGGTCAAAGAGACTGAAGAAGAGGACAGATCACCTATCATAACAGAGAAAGTTCTGTCTGTTGAATAGGACTTAAACCACTTGAGCACAACTCCCTGAAGGCCAATCTGCTGAGCCAAACAAGTGATTAGGACCTGATGGTCTACAGTATCAAAAGCTGCTGAGAGGTCCAACATCACCAGCAGAACAGGTTTTTTGGCATCAAGGGACAAAAGAATATCATTCTGTACTTTGAGTAGTGCAGAGTCAGTGCTATGACATGGTCTGAAGCCAGATTGAAAATTTTCAAACAAGTTGTCGTGTTCTAAAAAAGATTGCAACTGAATGAAAACAACCTTTTCCAGAACTTTGGATAAAAATGATAAGTGTGAAATTGGCCTAAAATTAGAAAAAGCTGTAGGATCTAAACCTGTTTTTTTTTTAAGAAGAGGCCTGACCACAGCATGTTTGAAAACAGATGGGACATAACCTGAACTTAGACAGCTATTAATAAATATCAGAAGACAAGGACCAATAACATCCAAGGACTGCTTGAACATCTTAGAGGGAATGATGTCCAGGGTACAGTTTGTAGGTTTCATCTGCTGAACCACCTAACGAGGTGAGGTAGTGAGACCAGGTCGAACTGATCAAACACAGCAGAGGTTATTGAGGGTGCACATAACTGAACAGCATTATAGGTACTGACAATGTTCTGCTTGATAGAGCCTATTTTGTTCACAAAGTAATCAAGAAAACCATCACAGGTAGACTATATAGCAGTTTTCAGAACATTGATGGAGGGATTAATAGCAGACTGAATGTTATTAAATAAAACCCATGGCTGGTTACAACTGGAAGAAATTAAATTGGAAAGATATTGTGATTTGGCCTGCTTAACAGCTTTTTGATCTTCATAAAGACAGTCTCTCAGTTTGTCCTGGGACACATGAAGCCTGTCTTTCTTCCATCTGCGTTCTTCTTTCCTGCAGCATTGTCTAAAAGTCCGAGTGGTACCATTAAGCCAGGGATCTGGCTTGATTTTTGTAGAAGTCTGTCTTAATGGAGCGATGGAGTCCAAGATCTTTGTAGAAGTGTACTGAAAGGAGGTGATAATTTCTTCTGGATGCAGAGATGAGTCTAGACTTTCAGCAGAGTATAAGTCAGTGCTTCTAAACGCAGCAGCAAACTGACCTGGAGTGGAGGGAGTGATAAAGCAGCAGAGACGTGCTGGAAGCATAGTTTTTACCGGGAGAGGAGTGGAAAATTCAAATATAATAAGAAAGTGGTCTGAAATACAAGTGTCCAAAATTTCTATAACAGATACACGAAGGCCGTGAGAGGTGATTAAGTCCAAAGTATGACCATGACTGTGTGTGGACCCTGACACAGATTGTGACAGGTTAAAAGAATCCAGAAGGCTTTGAAAGTCAGCAGCGAGTTGGTTACATGGACGGCAAACATGAACGTTAAAATCACCACATAAAAGCAAACTGTCGAATTATGGCAACAGTTCAGCCAACAGTTCTGAGAATTCATTAATGAAATCCTTATTATATTTTGGTGGGCGATATAAAACACCACACAGCAGGGGGTGTGCAGATTCCATCACAAAAAGCTGAAGCTCAAAGCTGCTGTAGTTTTTAGGAGGTAGTGGGCAGCAGGTGAGTTTATCACTGAACACAGCAGCAAGACCGCCCCCACGGCCAGACACACGCGGTGCACTCAGGTAGGAATAGCCAGGTGGGAGGAGCTCAGAAAAGGCACTGTTGTCCCCTGGTTTCAGCCAGGTCTCAGTCATCAGAAATCCAAACGATGATTAGAGATCAGATCGTTTAGCATAAAGGTTTTATTTGAGAGCGATCGGGCATTAAACAGGGCTGCACGTGCTGGTACACAGCCGATTGCGTCGTCAGCTGCTCGGGCAAGCGGGCGGAGGTTCTGTTGCACGCAGCCCCCCCTCCTGGTCCCCACAGAGCGACAAGGTGGAAACTGAAAGTTGACGCCAGGATTAACGGGAACGAGGCATCGATGACAATAAACCAGGGAACGACGGAGGTCGAAGATGCCAAACTCCGAAGGCAAGTCCTGCAGTAGAAGCCGATGATCAACCGTACTGTGAGAGGAGAGGTAGAATTTGAATTTGACGAGAACTCCCGCTCTCCTTCCACGTCTTTTGTGGCGTTTGTTGTGTAGCAACGTCTCGGTAGTGCGGCGTAGATAGGCTGGCACAGACGCCAGGAAGGGCGGTTGTTGGATAAAATGTAAATGTTATCATTTAAAACTGTTTTTAGACCCCTCATCATTTAATTAAACTCCATTTGTGTGAACTAAAGAATAGCCATTTGTCTTATGCAGTGAGACCAAGACCTTGGGTTTTTAAACAACCATGATGTTATTCAGATCTGACCTCGCTACTCCGGCTATCCCGTTTTGTAATCAAGCTGTCTGTTTAGTAATCTTTTCAGGCTCTGCTGCGTCGGAGAAAATCTGTATCTGTTGATTTTGCCTGCTGCTCACTCCTCCTGCCTCACAATAAAACACGAGCTCTCCCGTCGAACGGCGGACTTCAACTTGACGTTTGGTCAGGTCACGAACTCCCCCCTCTGCAGAGGGCTCATCAAAATTCTTACACTCTGTCTTGTGTGTGAATTCTTTAAAGGTGATACGAGGGAAAAAATCCCTAACAGCGGTGGTGTCTTAAAATGTCCAATTTTACCAAAAACCGGTACATTGTTTAGCGAATACTGGATCTTTAGCAGAGTTGAGCGGTCCTAGTGAG